GTGTGTCCTGACCCCCCTCGGTCCCTGTCCCCAGTGGCCTCCCCCTACTCCAGCCCCCACCAGCCACCTCACACCTGCCACCCACTGCTCCCAGGCTCCATCTTGCCGGCCGCTGCACCAGCTCTGACCCTCGCTGCCGTGTGCTCCCCACCTCAGCCCTCGGCACGTGCTGCTGCCCACGGACAGCTGCTTCCCGGCACTCCAAGGGCACACCACCGTCCGATGCTGCCCCTCCCTGGTCACTGTCCTGGCCCCCATTGGTGCCTTGGGCTAGAGGGTGTGGCAGGTGGGGTCCCCCTGGAGCCAATGTCAGAGCCTGACCCCAGTCCAGGGCCGGCACCCTGAGAACAAGGGCCCTGCCAACTGGGTCTCCTGAGGGTCCAGGGGCTCTGCTGGAGCTGGGCGTGGGGCGGGGCACCCCCTATTCATGTCTGTGCTTCTCCTCCTTAGGGATCCCTGGTCTGGCCTGGCTCCCCCGCTGGAGAGCCCACTGCCTGCCGTGGGCCGTGCCCACAGCCCTGCCCCCAGCCCTGTCCAGCATGCAGTAGGTGCTCAGTGAATGTCTGGGGCAGAGCCCACTCCCTCATCCACGTATGCTGGGCCCTATGCACCCATCACAGTGGCCGAGGGGCGGACAGAAAACTGCGGCCCAGGAGCTGGTTGAGGCTAAGCTAGCTTCTGGGAGGATGTGACAGCCCCCGTGGGGTCCCAGGACCCTGACCTGTCCATTGCGGCACACCCTGCCCTGGAGACCCAGCTCTGCTCTCACAGGGGATGGCACCATGATGAGGGGACCTAGAGAGTGGACAAGGGGCAAACAGGGTGTTCCCACCGAGCTGGGAGGGCCATGGAGGGACACACAGGGAGCTCAGGAGAGGTGGGCAGGGAGGTCAGCAGCAACACTGGGATGATGGGAGGGGCATGCAGAAGTCTGGGAAGAATGTTCCAGGCAGAGGACAGCCTGCACAAGCCCCGAGGCTGGTGTGAGCTGGGCCTGGGGTTGGTGGAGGCGGGGGCACAACAGGTAGGGGGCAGTCACATAGAGCTGGGAGTGACCAAGGTGGGCTGAGTGAGACGGGAGGGCTGTTTTCCCAGCCTTCGTCCTGTGATATGTAGACGGATGATTAGGTAGATGGACACAGGATGGATGATGGATGGATGTGTGCATGGGTGGGAGATGAGAAGTAGATGACACGGGTAGATTGATAGATGACAGGTAGGAGATAGGTAGGTAGATGTAGGTCTCCATGGTCATTCCAAGACAGGAAGTAGTGCCGTCCCAGCTGGAAGCCCAATCTCAGCACCTCACTCCCTTGCAGGAACCACTTGCGAGGGCTTCTTCAGCCCTTAGATGCCCTGTGTGGCCCTTAGGCACCGTGCTTATTTGGGCGTGCCTTCTAAGTCCTGTTGGAGCTGCAGGCCACTCCCTCAGGAGGCTCTGCTTTACCTGCCGTTACCCTTTGAGGACCTGGCCATCTATTCCACCTGAGCAGAGGAGGGTGGGCCAGGGGACCAGGGAGGGGGTGACTGCCACCACCCAGGTGCGAGGTGCTGGACTGGGGTTGCAGGTGGCATGTCGAGACCGTGGCTGTTTGCTGCTCGACCCAAGATCATTGTGCCTTCCCACTCGTACTGCACCCAGGCCTCCCTCCCTCCCACCCACGTTTAACCGGGTGTCATTCCTATCTCCCTACTGCGTTACCGTTAAAAATCAGAGTGCCCAAGGCTTTCATACTTTCCTTCTCTGTCTCTCAAATACTTGCTTTAGGAAAGCACTGAGCCCAGACGCTGTTGAGCTGGTGTGGCTGCGGGAAGCGTCCCGGCAGCTGAGCACATTTAAGCCGGTTTAGGCCCCTCCCTTCCGCGCCCTCGTGCCTTTGCAAGATGGCACTAGGACCCTGCCCCAGACCAGGTTAAGATTCCGGGTCCCACTGTGCGTGGGTAACCAGGGCTTCCCCAGACAGCCCAACTGCTGGACGGTTGGTGTCTTCCATGGCTCTGCTCCCTGCAACCGGTCTCTACTCACACCGACCTTCCAGGCCCCGCAGGCCATGGTGACAGCACGGTGTGCCCAGCACTCCATCTCCCTAGCACCCCTCAGGAGCTGGGGCCAGTAGGGATCAGGAGAGCCCTGAGCTCTGCAGCCCGTACCTGTCTGTGTCAGGGAGGGGGTCCGGGGCCCACCCATGGCCCTGCAGCTGCTCAGGCCTAGGGTCTGTGTAAAAGTGGGGCAGTGGTGGCCCCAGCGTCCTTGGAGCAGCTCGGGGACATTGGCAAGACCTCTGTGAGCCATCTGCAAAGGAGCAGCAGGCCCCTGCTCACAAGGTGCTGACCCAGTGGGAACTGGAAACAGCAACACGACACTATGGTGGTGTCAGCACCCCCCTCAAAAACCTGACCCTGCGTTTGCAGAGTCAACGCGGTCATCGCCCCTAGACTGGAGCCCCAAATTGTGCAAGACCCAGCTGCACTTCCAGGCAGCTCCCAGCTCGTGAGCCCACGTGCCCGTGTCCTCGTTGGCCTGTGACCCATCTGCTCCCGGGTTCAATAACAGGTCCCGTCCCACTGCACAACACCCTTCCCCTCCCTCCACCCACACCCCTCCCTCCCTGCTCCTCCCCTCCCCCACTTGCTCCCTCCACCCTCCCTTTTCCTCACTCATTCTCCCTCACACCCTTCTCGTGCCCTCCATCTCTCCCTCATCCCCTCACCCTGACCTGTGGTCATGGGCGTCTCCCCACCGCAGCGCCCCTGCCAGCCCCTGCTCGGTTCTGGGCACGGGAACAGCTCTCCTTACTGGCTGCCGGGAGGGTTCCTGGAGCAGATGGCATTTTACCCAGGACCTGCAGGATGAGCTGACGGCGGCTTGGTAAGGAGTCCTCAGGCAGGGAGCAGCATGTTCTGTCCGTGAGCACCTAGAGCCCGGGGTGGGGGCGCAGAACATGGCCAGGCGTGCTTGCAGCGTGCGCGTGGGGACTCGGGAAGGCCGGTGAAGGGAAGCGTGGCCCCTGGTGCCGTCCACTCCCGTGTGGACTTAGTTTATTCCTGGTCTCGGCACTGGCTGACCAGGTGGGTGGCAGGTGGGGCCTGATCGGGAGGCCCGTGGAGCACGCCCAGGCTGGCGGCGACAGAAGGGTCAGGCTGAGCCGGTGGTCGGGGCGCCACAGCCTGGCCAGGTCGGCATGACCCGCAGGCTGGGCTGGGAGGGGGTCAAGGACAGCCTGGGCTGGGACTAGACTGTGGGCCTCGCAGCAGGGCAAGGGGGGGTCACAGGGAAGGGGAAAGTCAGGTCCTGGGAGGCCCGCAGGCCCAAGTCCAGAGGACAGGCGTGTCCGGCAGGCCCCTCACTTGGGGGATCAGGGCCTCACGAGTGGCGTCGGGCAGCCCAGGTGTGTCCCCCATGGTCTCAGGTGGAGCCAGCCTCGGACCTGCTCAGGCCACAGGCCTGTGGGCCTGCCTGTCTCTGGATGTTTCCATCATGCCTGTCTATGCCCTTCTCCCAGGCATCTGTCACCTGTGCTGGTGTCTCTATCAGCTTCACCAGGTGTCACCTTTACCCAGTTGTCACTGTCACCTTCACTAAGTGTGCCACCTTTACCCAGACATTCTGTGCACCTTCCAGCAAGGTAGTAAATTCATAAAACTGTTAATACTTCTGAGACAAGTGTGCTTTGACAGCGCCTTGCCATGCCAACCCCTGCCCCAGGAGTCCCAGAGCGAGGTTCCCACTGCACAGATGGGCACACAGAGGCTTGGGGACGTGGAAGCTCGTCCCCAGTCCTGCAGCTCAGACGAAGAGGAGCGAGGCGGTAAGGGCTGCCCATAAGCCACCTCTCCAGGGGGGCGTGGGGTGTCCTGGCGGTGGGTGGCTCTGAGGCCGTGGCTCCCCTAGACTCCCTGACGGCAGTGCCGGTGCTGTGAGGAGCAGCTCTCACTCCAGGACCCACGGTGTCCCCGCGTTAACGTGCCCAAGGCTGAGCAGAGCCCTGCGGGCCTGGCGCAGCCACCTCGGCCAGCGCGGCTCCCCACAGGCAGGCTGCGCCCGGCACTGTCGGGGCAGAGCGTGCCTGCCCACACCGCGAGGACAACAGGAACTCGTGACTCTGTGGCTGACCATGTTTTACTTTCCCCAAAACAAGCCCGTGAGGGAGGAGCTGAGGAGGGGGCAACGGGCCCTGGCCAGGCCTGCAGCCTGTCCTCACGGGAGCGCCTTCGTGCTTGTCTGTGCCCGCCTGCTCGCCGGGAGGGGCAAGTGAACTGGGAGAGGAGGGGACAGTGTGGGGGACACCTGTGGTGGGAGGGGACAGAGTGGGGGACAGCTGTGGTGGGAAGGGACAGTGTGGGGGACGTCTGTGGTGGGAGGGGACAGTGTGGAGGATGTCTGTGATGGGAGGGGACAGTGTGGGGGATGTCTGTGGAAGGAGGGGACAGTGTGGGGGATGTCTGTGGAGGGAGGGGACAGTGTGGGGGACGTCTGTGGGGGAGGGGACAGTGTGGGGGACGTCTGTGGAGGGAGGGGACAGTGTTGGGGATGACTGTGGGGGAGGTGACAGTGTGGGGGATGTCTGTGGAGGGAGGGGACAGTGTGGGAGATGACTATGGAGGGAGGGGACACTGTGGGGGACGTCTGTGGAGGGAGGGGACAGTGTGGGGGATGTCTGTGGAGGGAGGGGACAGTGTGAGGTATGACTGTGGTGGGAGGGGACAGTGTGGGGGATGTCTTTGGAGAGAGGGGACACTGTGGGGGATGACTGTGGTGGGAGGGGACAGTGTGGGGGACGACTGTGGTAGGAGGGGACAGTGTGGGGGACTTCTGTGGATGGTGGGACAGTGTGCAAGGGTCACCGGGGCAGATGAGCCAGATGGAGGGTGTCCTGCCGCAGGCTGTGCCAACAGCTGGACGTAGGATGCCAGGAGCACCCCTGGCCCAGCCCACGCTGGAGCAGCCACAGGCAGAATGGTCTCAAAAACCCTCCTGAGATAAAGGAGCAAGCCAGGCAGAAAGGACTTGAACATTTAATATCACTGAGCACCTTGTAAAGTGAAGGTGTGCTTCTTACACAAATTATAAATAATGAAAAATAAGCATTTATAAAAACAAGCTCTGGCCCCCTCTGTGGGCCGGCTGGGGGACTCTTTGGCTGAGCAGCAGGAAAGGCCTGGGGTATGGGGGTCGTCAGAGTCCCCTAAGGTCATCTGCCAAGAAGGCCAGCAGGTAGCGGCTGACGTGTCTGTCGATAATGACGGGTGAGAAGCCGAGGACGCGCCGGGCGCCCGGCAGCCCCTTGGGGTCTGGAAGACACAGCAAGAGGAGGAAACTGGAGACCCAGGCCCAGGGGTAAACTCTGTCCTTCCAGCCTCCAGCTCCCTGGGGAGCTGGGCAGGTTGGGTTCCCCACCTTTGTCCCTCCCGCTCATGTGCTTGGTGCTTGGGTTGAAAAGACAAGAATCAGGGCAGACTCTGCAGCCTCCAACTCCTACCCCAGTAACCAACGGCCTTCTGGGTCTATGTCCCCGTACCCAGCAGGCCTTCCCAGTGACAAATTCAGGCACCTTGGAAAACGTGGGGCAGAGCGGGCCGGGCTGGGCAAGGCCCCTGCTCATCAGGCCTGTGACACTGTGGGTGTAAGAACCTGAGGCTCTGGGGGAGGTCACCTGCTCAAGGGGCCTCTGCATGGCTCAAGGTCATAGCTATGACAGACCCCCAGCTGCCCACTTCCTCTCCAAGGGTTGTCATTCTCTGACTCCCAGGGTAGCAGGGACCACTGAGGGCTGGGGGGCTCGACACACCCCATTTCTCACAAGCTCTGCGAGGTAGGTACTGATACTGACCCACTGCACAAGTGAGGAAACTGAGGCTTGGTGAGACCAAGGGGCCCCTGATGTGGGCAGGGTCAGGGCCCTCTCTTGGTGGCCCTAGCTCAGTGGCAGAGGGTATGCAGGCCTGGGCTGGAGGGTCCATGTGCACCCACCTGGAGGGTAGCAGTAGAGGAGGAGGGCCAATCCCACAGCCAGGCTGAGGCCTGCCAGGAAGCTTATGGGTCCTGCGGAGAAACAAGCGTAAGCAGGGTTCCCCTGGGCCTGCTGGGGACCACACAAGGAGATGGGGACGCCAGGTTGGGATGCTGCCTGAAGAGCCCCCCAGCAAGCACCTTAGGGGGTCTGTCACCAACAGAAGGCCAGGAATAGAGCCCAGTTTGGGATGGAAAAGTCCCGAGGCGGAGATAGAGCCCTGGGTTGGGGGAGAGAGAGAGGGGAGGGGCAGCGGGGGCGTTACCCCTGTCACTCAGCTCGCCGTGCTCGCTGCCCGAGTCTAGCTCTGTGCAATCTGAGTTCTCTGGAAACAAAATCACGGAGCACGGTTAGTCGTGGGTCCAGCCAGAGAACAAGGTGGTCACCCCCGAGGGAAACCCAAGGCCACTGCTGCCTCCTAGGGCCAGGCTGGACCCGGCCATGGCACTGTGAGGCCAGCCCTCCTCAGGGAACCCTGCACAGTTTTGAGTCTTCTCCTTTGGGCCAGTTCCTGTGATTTCGAGAGCCATGGGTGTGGGCAGGGCCACCATTCCCTGGTGGCCACAAGGCACCAAGTGCAGCATGAACATCCCCTTTGGAGAACTCAGCTGGTGTCAGGGCAGTGGCTGCCGTGCCAGGTGCAGCTGGGCTTTCTCCTCAGAGCTGCCGTGGCCTCTCCAGCCTGCTGACCTGCAGGAAGGGCCTGCGGGCACCCGGGAGCCATGGAAGATGCTCTGCCTCCAGCAGGGGTGTGGCTCGGCCCTTTGGAAGATCCCTGTGGAGCACCATGGCTGGGGGGAGAAGCCAGTCCCACCTGTTATCCTCCCGGGCACGGTCCTGCCCCGGAGCCCTCCCCTGTCCAGCATGTAAAGTGCCTCCCGTGAGACCTGGGTTGGTTTCCTCAGGGTCAGAGACCGCAACCCAGGGTCCTGGCTGAGTGGCCTGGAGAAAGCCACCCAGTGTCTCTGGCCTCCGTCCTGTGGCGTGAGGACCGGGGGGCAGCAGCCCCTCCTCCTGGGGCGAGCGCAGAGGCCTCAGACCAGAGCCGCCCGCCAGCCTCACTGCACCCTCCCCGTCCCAGCAGGTCAAGGACCCCAGACCCTTGGGATCCACACACCTCCTGGGCCCTGAGGGATCTCTGCCGGGAGGGGGCTCCAAACTGACATGCGCGTGCCTCGCACACTCATCCGGGCCTGAGGCTGCCTGGCGGCAACGGCCACGTGCATGCAGGGCGGAGGGACTGAACGCCAGCACAGCCTCGGCGTCCGCCGTGCCGGTAAGGGTGGGACCCGTGGCCTTCTGATTTCAAGACTGTACTTTTTTTAAGCACCAAAGGGGGCAAGAACAGCTTCATCTTTCTCTGCTCCGCTCCTTTTAATAAAAGGATCTGTTCTGTAAGGTTTGGATTCAAAGGCTGCACTCAAGGATCCCGAAGGCCATGTGTGGCCCCAAGGCCGTAGGTTCCCCGCCCCTTCCAGGATCCCTGCGGAATGCGGTTAGAAGGGGGGCAGGAGGAGATGTATAGGGTGCCGCCTTCTGTGTAAAAGCTGGCGGGAGCGAGAGCTAGAGCAAGAGAGAGCGAGCGAGCGAGAGGTCTGCATTGCTTGCAGTCCCCTCCTCGGGAGGCCGGAGGCTGGTCTCTGGGGAGGGGCTGAGGAGGGAGGCGATGCTAGGCCTGGGCCTCAGCAGACTCGAGTGGGCACAGGGGACGTCCGAGCCGTGGCCAGCAGGCCAGCGTCCCCTTCCTGGACGGTGCCGAGTAGGCGGCGGGGACGGGGACTTACGCAGAGCGCAGCGGCTGGGCAGGCGGCTGTGCAGCGGCTGGGCGTGGATGTACAGGGCGCGGTAGAACTCCTGGCAGTCTCGCTCGCCGCTCCGCTGCAGGTGGCTCAGGAGGTCACAGAGCCGCACGCGCAGGGACGCCTTGGGGTTTCGGAACTGGGGGCGCAAGGGGTCATGAGGGAAAATCAGGCCAGAGAGGGGTGGCTGTGGGTCCAAGGTCAGGGGCTCCAAGCTCAGGTCCCCCAGCCTCAGCTTCCTCACTGGGTGTCAGGATACCCACTGGTGGCAGCACCTGAGATGGCCCCGCACCACACCCACAGGTGCCTGGCTCTGCCGCTGTCACAGGCATCGCCACTGATCCTCACGCTCCTCGCAGGGTGGGAGGCAGGAAACCGAGGCTGGGAGCTGTGTGACCTCAGCAAGTTGCCCCACCCCTCTGAGACTCGGCTTCTTCATTGGTGAAAAGGGATAATGAACCCACACGGTGGCTGTGATAGAGAACTGCAATCTACAGGAATGTGATTCAAGCATTTTAAAAATCAGTTGAGAAAATAATTGGCTCTTTTGATGTGTTTGACAGAGAGACGTGTGGTTCTCAAGGTGAGTGGACAGGGTACTTGGCATGGACCCTCCAGGACCAGGAAGGGCTATGGCCCAGTGCTGCCCCCTGGTGGCATGGTGCCATTGCACACAGCTGCAGCGCGCGGGGTGGAACACAGCTGCAGGGAGGGGGTGGAACGGCAAAGCCAGATGGCAGCAGCCACACCCCCTCCCCGTGCCTGTGAGGAAAGGAAGTGTGCATGGAGCACTTCCCCTTTTTCTTACATAAACATCTGAAACTCTTCAAAATAAAAACAATGTGCATGTATTAGACTTCTACTTACAATAATAAGAGATGAATTTGAGTTCATACCTTTTTAAATTATTGGACCATTTTTGTAATGTAAGAAGCATCTCGGCCAGTAGCAGGGCCATTTTGACTCATGTTCTCTTGTGACCAACCTACCCTTTCCAGCAGATGTCCTAACCCTAACCCTCAGGGCAGCCTTACAAGTGTCCTCATAACACCTACCCACCACCCCCACCACGTGAGTTAACTGTGGCTCCAAGAAGAGTCAAGACTCACTTAGGTAGGGAGGTAGGGGCAGGACCTGAACCTCAAAGGACTAGTAGGTCTCTGGCACCTACCACCTTCCCCTTGAGGCCTGGTGACAGCTGCTAGGGAGCAGGTGGCTTGAGCTGGAGCCAGACTACAGGTGTGGCTGGGGTGGGCAGGATGTGCCCAACTCTCTCATCCAGCATCCCAGAAACCTGGGGCCCCTCAGGGTCAGCTGGTGCTGCGGGGGTTGGACCACATTAGACCTCCCAGGCCAGAGCCCAGGAATTGCACCTTAAATCCCGTCTCCAGCAGAGCCAGCATGGCATAGCCGGGTCTGCAGCTCTGAGAGGCCAGGGCCATGTGACAGTTACAGCAACTGCCCCTGGGCACCTTCCTAAGTAACAAGATGGGCTCAGGATGTGGCCTGACACTCCTGGGATGGGTGACCCTGGGCATGTGACTGCCTCTCAGGCCTCAGTGGCCTCCTCTGTACTGTAAATGGGGTGATGACCGTGGCTCCTCACAGATCTGCAGTAGGAAACCAGGGACTGTCTAGGGAGGAAAACACTGAGCAGCTGTGTACCCGGTTCAGGTCAGCCAGTCCCCACCACAACCTGACAGCCCAGAGCTCTAGCTGCCTGTTCCACAGATGGGGAAGCTGAGTCTCAAGGTGAGTGGGACCAGACCCTTCAGCACTGCTGAGCGGGGTTAGCACCGCCCACATGGGGTCTCCGCTGCCTACCTGGGACAGGCTGTGCTCCCCAGCCCCGTACGCAACATGGGAATTAGAAAAAAGGAAGCATGTGTTTGCCCACTTCGAACCTGTGGAAGATGCAGAGTGCAGAGCCCTGTGGCAGCAGAGTGAGGCCAGGCCAGACCTTTGCTCCTCTCCGTCCCCTCCCTCCACAGGCCTCCCTCCTCTCCCTCTCCTTCTTCCTCAACCCTCTCTCTTTCTCCTCTTCCTCCTAGGCCCTCCCTCTGCACCCTGCCTCTTGTACCATTGTGTGCTTTTGTGTATTGTCACGTGTCGTTTTCTGTAACCCTCCCAGCAACTCTGGAAGGAGCAGCAGGTTCAGTGACATATGAAAAGACCGAGGTACAGAGAGTTGATGTTCTGGGCCCATTTGCGGTCACCCCAAAGAGATAGCTTGGAGCTCTGGCTGCCCTAGTGGCCAGGTCCAGGTATGTCACCTTTGAGCTATCCTGATACACCTGGTGCGTGTGTCATCTTGTGAGAGGATGACCCAGGGCTGGTGGTGATGACCCACCAACTTCTCCTAGCCCAGAAAGGAAGGGAAACTGCGAAGTGTGTCATGCACCCCACCCTCACCTCCTCAGCACCTTTTCCGCCTCCTTGTTGGTGAGGATCTGTGGGTAGTAGCGGTTCAGCTGGAGGATGATCCTGTCCACCTGCTGCTCGCTCAGGCGCCCTTGGCCCGTCAGGAAAGGCGTGTCCTGCACCAGGCGATCACAGTAGGTCTGATCTGAAACAGAAGTGGATGGCACAGGGACGTGAGCAGCACAGTCTGAGGGGACCGGGTACAGCAGCCTCACGCTGACGCTGATCATGGGCGGCCCCTATGTCCACCAGGAGGATTTTAGACATCCGCGCCCATGTAGGGGCACTGCACACAGCTGAGAGCTGCCCCACCCTGGGGCCTCAACAGAAGATGGAAGTGGGTGGGTGTGGCAGGAACCCAGCCGGATGTGCTGAAAAGTAGCCAGGAAGGGCCATATCTCTGACCCCTTTTCTTTGTCCAAGAGTTTATCACAGACAATAAACACAGAGGGTCTAAAGAATCTACTATCCATGGGCCGGCTGCAGGGCCATCTGGAAATAGGGAAGATACAGGCAGCTTAGAGAAGGCCAGGACGTGGGCTCTGCAGCTCCTCACAGCAGCACAAATGCAGGGACACAGAGCTCAGGGTGGCCCACACTGGCATCATCGTGGGACACAGTCTGTCTGCAATGCCTTAGGAAGCTTCCACCAACAGCAAACCAACAAGCCCTCCCAGGGGGCTGGAAATGCTTGTTCTTTTGTCTTTTCTTTCAGAATCACCATCATGTATTGTTACACTATCTTTCCCATTAAGAATGTTCCTTAGAATGACAGACCTTGAAAGGTGAGGGGTGGAGTGGTGGTGGGAAGGCACAGGGGCACAGGATCCCCACAGAAACTGAATAAGGGGACTGAACAAGTACATCACCTTATATACCTGTGGCAGCTTGACCTGTTTCCTATGTACATAGGAGCTGGGTGGTGGTGGTTGTGTATGGGGGCGGTGATGGAGCTTTATAGCAATAGTTTTTATATATGCTTGAAGTTGGTATCAATTCAAATTAGTTTGTTATGACTTTAGGATGTTAAATATAATCCCCATGGTAAACATAAAAAATATTTCTAGAATATACACAAAAGAAAATAAGAAGTAAATCTAAATGTGTTACTACAAAAAATCAACTATACACAAAAGAAAACAGCAACGGAAGAAATAAGGGTCAAAAAAGCGACAAGACATACAGACACAAATAGCGAAATAGCAGTAATAATTCATTATTTATCAGCAATTACTTTAAATGTAAATAGGTTAAACTCTAATCAAAAGGCATAGGTTGGCAGAATAGATTTTAAAAATAGGATCCAGGCCGGGTGCAGTGGCTCACGCCTGCTGGGAGGCCAAGGCGGGTGGATTGCTCGAGGTCAGGAGTTCGAAACTAGCCTGAACAAAAAGCCAGACCCCGTCTCTACTATAAATAGAAAGAAATTAATTGGCCAACTAATATATATAGAAAAAATTAGCTGGGCATGGTGGCGCATGCCTGTAGTCCCAGCTACTCAGGAGGCTGAGGCAGAAGGATTGCTTGAGCCCAGGAGTTTGAGGTTGCTGTGAGCTAGGCTGACGCCACGGTACTCACTCTAGCCTGGGCAACAAAGCAAGACTCTGTCTCAAAAAAAAAAAAAAGAAAAGAAAAAAAAGGATCCAACTATATACTGTCTATAAAAGACTCACTCTAGATCTAAAGACACAAATTGGTTGAAAGTAGAGAAATGTAAAAAGATATCTCATGCAAAAACATAACCAAAAGAGAGCTGAGGTGATTATACTAATATCAGACAAAATCGATTTTAAGTCAAAACCTGTTATAAAAGATTAAAAAGTGTATTACATAGTAATATAATAAAAGGATCAATTCACCAAGAATATATAACAATTATAAACATTTATGCATCAAACATCAGAGCCCCAAAATATATGAAGCAAAAACTGGAAGACTTAAAGGGAGAAATAGACATCTCTACAAGAACATTTGGCGATTTTAATATATTTTCAAAAATAGAACAACCAGAAAGAAGATCAATAAGGAAATAGAGGACTTAACACCACAAACCAATCATACCTAGTAGACACATAAAGAATACTCCCTCCAACAATAGAGAATACGCATTTTTCTCAAATGCACATGCAACATTCTCCAGGACAGACAACAGAACAAGTCTGGCCACAAAATAAGTCTTAATATATTTAAAAAGATTGAAATCATACGAAAATCTTTTCTGTTCACATGGAATGAAGCTAGAATTCACTAATAGAAAGAAAACTAAAAAAGTCTCAACTATGTGGAAACTAAACAACCAATGGATCAAAAAAGAAATCACAAGAAAATAGGAAATATCTTGAGACAAATGAAAAAAAAATACCCATATGCAATACACCAAAACCTAAGGGATTCAGCAGAAGCAATACTGAGAGGGAAACTTATAGCTATAAATGCATACATTTAAAAAAATGTTAAATCAATAACCTAACATTATACCTTAGGAATGAGAAAAAGAAAAAATAAAGACCAGAGCGACTGAAGAGCAATTAAACCCAAACCTCATGAAAGGAATAAAATAATAAAGATTAGAGTGAAAATAAATAAAATAGAGAATAAAACAGTTGAGAAAATCAAGAAAACCAAAAGTTGATTCTTTGATAAGATCAACAAAATTGACAAACCTTTACCTAGACTGACAAAGAAAAAAATAGGGAAGACTTACATTATTAATACTAATATCCAGAGTAAAAGTGAGGACATGGCTATCAATTTTACAGAAATAAAAAGGATTATAAGAGAATACTATGACATTTGTACATAAACAAATTGGAAAAACAAGATGAAATGGAAAATTCCTAAAAAAAAAAAGAACACAATCTACCAAAACGGAATCATGAAGAAATAGAAAATTTGAATAGACCAATAACTAGTAAGAAGATTAAATCAACAATCAAAAATGTCCCAAGAAAGAAAAGCCCAGGACCAGATGGCTTTGCTGGCAAATTCTACCAAACATTTAATGTATAACTAATACTAATCCTTAAACTCTCCCCCAAAACTGAGGAGGAAGAAACACTTCATAACTAATTCTAGGAGGTCAGCTTTACTCTGATACCAAAACCAGATAAAGATACTACAAGAAAAGAAAACTATAGACAAATATGTAATCCTAGCACACCGGGAGGCCAAGACAGGAGATCACTTGAACCCAAGAGTTTGAGGTTTGCAGTGAGCTATGATGATGCCACCAAACTCTACCTGGGGCAACAGAGTGAGACTCTGTCTCAAAAAAAAAAAAAAAAAAAAAGAAAAGAAAAGAAAGATCAGTGGTTGCCAGGAGTTAGGAAGAGGAAGAGACGACTATGGGGCATGGGGCATAGGGGACATTTAGAGCAGTGAAACTACTATAACGGTGGATGCAGGACATTAAGCATTTGTCCAAACTCATAGAACATCCAACACAAGGAGCGAACCCTAACCTAATGTAAACTAGGGACTTCAGTTAATAATAACATCAATATTGGTTCCTCGGTTATAACAAATGTACCACACTAACATAGTATGTTAATAATAGGGGTGGGGTGAGGGGTATATGGGACTCCCTGTACTATCTGCTCAATTTTCTATAAACTAAAACTTCTCCAAAAATAAAGTCTATTAATTAAAAAGAAATTATATTTGGAAATTCCATGGTTGTTTCAATTTTAAAGAAAAAATGGGGGTCATTAAAAGCAGATCAACTCCAGGTTGGGGTGGGATTACCTGAGAAGGGGCACAAAAGAACTTTCTGGAGTGATAGAAATGTTCTGTCTTGATTTTGCCTGGGCTGGTACCGTGTTTCCCCAAAAATAAGACCTACCCATAAAATAAGCCCTAGCAGGATTTCTAAGCATTTGCACAATAGAAGACCTACCCCGAAAATAAGACCTAGTGATGGGCGTGGCTACGCAGCGCATCTGCACAACCCATGCATTTCATTGCGGAGCAGTAAAGAAGCCGAGCAGCCCTTCTCATCTGCCCCATCGTGACAGCAACTATCCCAGAGGTGACCAGAAAGGTGTGGGCAGCCCCACCAACAAGGTCAGCTCCTCCTGTCAGATCCCGGCCATCCTGTGCGTGCTGCAAGCTGAGGCTTTGAGGGGAAAATAACACATCCCCTGAAAATAAGCCCCAGGGTGTCTTCTTGAGGAAAAATAAATATAAGATCCTGTCTTATTTTTGGGGAAACACGGTAGTTGCAGGGTGTAGATCTTTATCAAAACTTACCACACTGTTCACTAAAAACAAATGCACTTGCTTGTGAGCAAATCATACCTCAATAAGACTGAATTAAAAAAATAGTGTCATCAGGTAGAAAAAAGCAGGGGCCCCCTCTCTGGTTTTGTCCTTGGGGCACAGACTCAATAGACTGCTTTTCTTCCTTATGTCTCTTTCCCAGTTGCTACCTCCCCCTGGCTGGTCCTTCCCCCCCTGGAATGCAGACTTCTGACTTCTGACTTCTCCCACTCCTGAAAGTGCTGTGCTTGGTGGCCCCTGCGCAGACTCTGCAAGGCCCAGGTGAGACCAGCTGTCTCAGCATACCTGCCCCACGTCAAGAGCTTGGGGACCACGGTGATGTGCAGATCTGTCTGCATCCTCCGGGGACTCAGCGTGGGGGTAGGGGCTGGCATTCACCAAGTGACCCCACAAACATGTCCTTACCCTACAGATACCTGCCCTCCAGAAAACAACAGTGGGTCCTGGTTCACAGCTGCTCCCCCCACCATCAGCCACCCTGACATCTGCTGGAAGCCATTCACAATGCGCAGCACCTCGAGGCTGCTGCGGGTAGGAAGGTTGGCTGAGCCCCGCCGCACCCCCCTGACCCTCCTGCACCAAGTTCTCCAACAGCCTATGTGGACTTGTCAGCAGCCCCCCCACAGTGAGGAAGCGAGCAGAGAGGCCAAGCGACCTGCTAACACCACACAGATAGGCCCAAGTGGGAAATCTGGCTCCTGCAGCCTCCCTCACTAAACAGCTAAGATGAATTCTAGCCAAAGGTCATGGAGAAATTCCTGTACCTGGCATTCTGTGGGCTCTGCGCCTGCCTGCAACCTTCATCCTTCCAACTGCTTTGCAATACGAGCATGATCATCATCCCTATTTTCAGATATGGAAACTGAGGCACAGCAAGGACAAAAGTAACCTGCCCAAGACTGCAGCCAGTTACAAAGTGACAGATCCAAGGGCAGGACCGAGGCACAGGAGTGTTGAGGCCACCTCTTGACATCCAAACTTTCTGCCCTTCCAGTAAACATATTAGGAACCTGTGGTCAGCTCTGTAGGTCTGCTTCCTGCCAGGACAAGAGCAGGCCCGAGGTTGTCCTCACCAGCACTGCGTCCCCAGTGTGTGCTGTGCTATGTGCATAGGGCCAGGCACACAGTAGGCGCTCACTAAAGAGTTCTGCAATGAATGGATGCAAATCCAAGCCCCAAGGGCAAGGACTGTAGGTGGACAGCAGCCAGCATCCTGTAGCAGCCTACCACCCTGTGAGCCAGTAGCCAGGCTGGGCCTCTGGTGTAGCAGAGCCATGAGTCACCGCAAGCCGTGAGTCACCATGAGCTATGAGTCACCTGGTATGGGCACCACAGTCCAGGCACTGAAGCCAAGCTGTGTGGCTTGGGGACTCTGCGCTTCCTGTGGTTGCTTGTGAGCTGTGCACATAAACCATACACAGGCAGCACTTGGAAACACAAAAAGGCATAAGAAAGGAAACCATCTTGGTGCCAGGTCCTGATAAACAAGTCCCCAAACTGTTTTTATAGGATAAAGGAAGATGGATCACTCTGGCACAAATCCACCAAGCCTTCAGCACTCCCCACATCCCCTCCGTTCTTGCCCAGCTGGAACCGTGACCATGGACCACCAATCCTGTCACTCCAACTTGAGCCTCCCTCTTCACAGCCCAGATGGAAGCCCTTGGCCTGGCATCCCAGGCCCTGTGAGAGCGGCCCCACCCAACTTCACCCGGCCCTCCAGGCCCCTGAGCCTTCCCGCCTGGCAGCCCCCAACGGCATCGTGTTGCCTGGGACCCCCGCCCCGGGTTGAGAATACCTGTTTCTGTGGTTTCCACGTGGTTAATTCAGCTCAGCTTGCTGTCACGCCCCCAAGAGGCCTTCCTGAGTTCCTCTGGCCCCCAACCAACTGTGGTCCAGACACTGGGGCATCGACCTCCCCGCCCAAATTGCTTCCAGAAGCCCCTTGTCCCAGTGCCTGGCTTAGCCAAGATCACTCACTCCCTGGCACCCCACAGGCAGGTACCTTGTCAAGCACTGCCCTGTGCCAACACCTTCTCAGTGTTCCACAGGTGTCGGCTCACACGTGCGTGCTCACAGCGAGGGCTGGCACGAGGTAGGCCCCCAATCTGCGCACAGGGGCAGTGAGCCCGGGACTACAGGTCTGTAGTCTTGTAGGGCTGACCAGCTGACCCTCCCAGAGCTGCGCTCTCTGGGCTTTGGTTCCCCACGCTGAAAATGAAGGGCTGTGAGGGGTGTCTCTAGGCCCAGTGAGTATAGACAACAGGGAGAAAGGTGTGTTGTTCCCCTCACTCTAAAAGGTGAGGCCCCAAGTCAGAGGCTTCAGGATCCCTGCCTGGCTGTGGTTTCTCAACTCCAGGGTCCCTTTGTGCAGGAAGGCTTCCCTGACCTCCCACTTCTGAATTGGATGGTGGGGGCAGGGGTGGACTGCCTCGGGCTCCGCCAACTCCCAGCCCCTGGGACAGGCTCCTTGGAGGCCAACACAGTGCTGTGCCCCTCTCAGCCTGATGAACTCGCTAAATGAGCTGGAGAATCAGGACCTGGGCAGGGCACAGACATGGGTACTGGGGCTTTTGTCCTGGCTCTGCCACTCACCAGCCCAGTAGGCTGGGATACCTGCCCAATTTGAGACTTTGTTTCCTCACTCGCACAAAGACATGATATTCCACATGTCCCCATCTGACCATTCTGGACAGGAAGCACCCAACACAGGGCCAGTGCATAGTAGGTGATCAAAAAGGGCAGCCACAATAAGAAAGCTCTGTAGGTAAGACAAAGGGGACCACGTAGCAGCTGCGGTCTCTTCTGCCCTGGTGTCTTGGAAGTCACCAGGTTCCAGCCCATGAGATCCCATTTGTGTGCAGGACCCAGGCCGAGACTTCGGTGAGCACTGAGGAGAGATGAATGGGGATTTTGGGGCCGGATTGACCCTCTGGGTCACCCCTGGCCCTGGATGACTTCTGCTTCATGAGAAGAGTGAGACTCTCAAGAATGAGTACAGCTTCTGGAAGCTCCCACATTCCCTGATCAGGGTGCCATGGGGTTGGTCACCGCCCCATCACCCTCGTGGGGCTTCCTCAACCTTTAGGGGAAGGTCTGCAGAGCTAGGTCACCCGGTTTGTCTGGGATCAGGAGTGGGGTGGGCAGGTTCCCAGGCAGAGAGGCCCGGGGGGTGGTGGCTAGGCTGGGGCCACAAGCGTGGAGCACAACAGGCTTGGGGAGTCCAGTCACTGTCCACAATTTCCCTAGGCGTGTCCCCTAGGGCTTTCCGGGGACAAGGGGTGTGGCTGGGCTCAGCAGGCGCCCGAGGGAGCAGGGGAGGCGCCAGCCAGAGTCCCACCGGTGCCACACACTGCCCAGGAATGCTTCACCTGTCCCAGGTTCTTATGGGGTGGTTGGGAGGATGAAGCGTTGTAGCTCGGTGCCAGAATCACAGCAGTCTAACTGAATACTCGCTGGTGTCATTTCTACCACTTCCTACTCTCTCAGACCCAATTCCCACCCCCGGGACACCTCCCAACAAGATTTCCAGTGGCTGAGCCCAGATCGTGGCTGTGCAACTTTGCTCCAGGAGCTGCCCTGCAGCCTCCGCCCTTCTGGGGCCCCGCACCTGGTCCCCACCCACCGTGCGCAGCAATGCCCACCCCAGAGACACCCACCACCTCGCGTGGCCGCACCCGCATCACCACCTACAGCTGAAGGGCCAAGGTCACTCAGCACCCCGCAGCCAAGGAGCCGCCCGTGGGCGACACTCGAGGCAGCCGGACCCCTGTCCGTCCCGGGCTGGGCAGACGGGACGCGCACCCGCGCTGCCCAGCCCGGCCCCGCGCCCACCTGTCATGGCGGCGGACACCGTTCCGTCTCGCCGTCCCCAGCTGTCCGCCCAGCCGCGCCTCTGCCCCTAGGTCAGCCGCCCGGCCCACCAGCTCCGGTGACCGCCGCCCGCGGCCGTGCTTGGACCGCCCCTTCCCGCTAAGCCCCGCCCCCTGAGTCCGCTGTGTCGCCGCCGGAACTCTAAACCCCGCCCCTCTCCGAGCCCCGCTCCCTCGAGCGCCCGCTACGCCGCCGCCAGAAGCCGTGAGCCCCGCCCCTTCCCGCTAGTCCCCGCCCCGGCTGCGTCCGCTAGGCGCCGCCCCTCGCTCGAGACCCGCCCCCTCGCCGCCCTGGGCTTGGTCGCCGTGCCTTGCCCTGAGCCCCGCCCCTTCCTGCTCTACCCAGCCCCTGCGGCCGAGAAAGGCGCCTCACGGCGCCCTGAGCCCCGCCCTCACTGGGCCCCCGCCCGGCCGGCGTAGACTACGCCGCCACCGGGGCTTTAGGCCCCGCCCCTTGCTCGAGCCCTGTCCCTCCTCCAAGCCCCGCCCCAGCACGGCCTCTCCCGCGGCCCACGCGCGCCCCTCCCCGCCGCGCCCCTCCCGTCCCGGGCCGCGCCCTCCGGGCCGCGCGGCACCTGTAGCTTGGCTGGGATCCAAGCGCCCGCCCGCTGCCGGCGAGTCCGCCACCCGGTCCCGGGCGCCCGCGTACCACCGGGTCATGAGGAAGCTGAGACTCTGAGAGGGGACGTGACTTACCGAGGGCATGCAGGAGGTCAGGCCGTGGGGAATGCAGGGTCAGGCCTGGGCAAAAGCCGGTGGGCGTCCAGTAACCCACCGCATCAGCCAGAGGCTGCAGTGCCCAGACAGTGGCGCGGCGCCAATTCGGGGACTAGTCAGACTCATCTGTGTGGCCTGGGTGAGGCAGCCCCCATCTCCGGCCCCCAGCCTCCCGCCCCCTAGCTACGAAAGGGAACACTAGCCTGGCAGTGTGACCCTAATTAGGGGGGTCATTTAACCTCCCTGAGCCTCAGTTTCCCGGACTTTAAAATGAGTGTCCTCTGGCAAGCTCTCCATCTTCCCTCCTGCTTTCCCCCAGTCACAGGCCCGTCCTTTTCCGCTCTCGCGCCCACCACAAGAAGCCCCCAGTCCGACATGATGCGAATGCGCCTGGAACCATCCAGGAAATGGAGACCTGTGGAGGGGGAGGCAGAGCCCTCGTGGCCAGCGTTGGCGGGCTGGTTTTCCGTTTTTCCTGTTTCCTTCCGTGCTGTGTCTCTGGTTCCCCTATTAGCTTGTTCTAAGTCGAGATGTTAAGCCTGATCCAGAATGGGGACCCAAGCTCAGTGTACACTTCTTCAACAGCACAGTGGTCCCTGCGGTCCTGCGCCCTCCATCTCTGTGCCTCAGTTGTCCCCTGGCTATGACCGCTCATCATGGGTGGGGCATCTAGGAAATGGGTGTGGTTGTTGCCTGGAAACTCCAAAATCCTTGGGCCCAGTTGTGGTGGTAACTACATAGAAGCGCCCCCCACTGCCCAGGAGAGCACGTGGGCAGCTGCCCTCAGCCACGGGGGCCCCAGAGCAAGGGGCAGCATGGGCAGAGCCAGCCCCAGGGCCAGAGGGCAGTGTGTGCTGGCTTGTGGGTCCCTACTGGCCTTTCATCTGTGTGTGCGCATCCGGGCTAGTCCAGAATGGCTCCAGGGTGGGAGCCCCTGCACAGACCCCACAGGGGGCCTCCTCAGAGGTCTTTTGGCCCACAGTGGGACATGGCCTGACCCCAGTTATTCTGCATCCATCACAGTGTTACAACATCTAGTGCTTACCTCCCTGGATTCATTCCACCCCCAGGAGAGATGTCAGAGCCATAAGGGCAGGGACTGGGTGGAAGGAGGACACAGTGGGGACATTGGGGGCTCCAGACTCTGCCCACCTTCAGGGAGCCCTGACCCCAGTCTCTTCTAGGAAGGCCAGCATTCCACTTTTACATCCACTCCTGCACCCCCAGCACCACACTTGGCCATGTGATAGATGGGGAAACTGAGGTTCAACTTTCGTGGAGTCCCTCACCCAAGTTCTAACAGCCTAGATGTGGCTTCTTGGGTGCAGGCCACTGCTCCTTGGCAACCCCAGGGGTTGTGGAGGATCCAGTCTAACACCCAACCCATGTGAGCACACCCAGGTCCCTTGGAATGTGTCCCCAGGCTTATAGGGATGAAACGCCGAGGCACAGGGCAGGATAGCCACTGGTCCCAGATGCCCACTCCAGGGGCTGCAAGCAGGCAGGTTAAGGGGTCAAAGGGCAGGTCCTGGGTGCTCTTCCCACCCTGGCATAGCGCAGGCATCCTCCTCCTGCAGCAGCAGCTATCTGAACCCCAAATGGAAGGTAAGGTCCTGTAGGCCCAGAGGGTGGGGGTCCAAACCGTGAGGGTGTGAACTGAGGTTGCCTCCCACCCCTGGAGAGCGACATGAAGCCCTGTCCTTGGACATTGTCAAAGAAAAACCAGAGTTGGACAGTAGTTACAGTGATATTAATAAAAAACAGATTTTTATTTAGGATTCTTGAAATAGAGGAAAAGATACCTCCGTGTAGAACTGGGCTCAACTCAAAATACAACAAGGACAGTGGGAATTTATAGCCCAGGAGCAGGGTGGGGCTCAGTGACAGAAAGTGTCTGAGAGGAAGCATCAGCAATGGGGTTCTGGCTGAAGCCAGGCTGTGAGCCAGGGTGAGCAGATGCCACCTGGGAGTGGTGGGGGTGAGGAATCCCATCAATTGCCCAGGGTGATCAGACAGTGAGGGTAGGGGGTTCTTGCTAAACTGGATTTTATAAGGAAGTGCACAGATGGGGCTAGGAGGAGGGTCAGGAGCCTGGTTAAAGTTTGGTCAAACAGAGAATTTCTATGTCACAGATGTCCTGGCCCTGATACCCATGACACTCCTTCCAACTGCCTCCACCTTGGTCTTTTGCTTCTTTTGAATTTTGTTTCCATGGCATGCTTTACCTGATAAGAAACACACCTTAAAAAGGGAAAATACATCTTACATAGGGAACCTCACTGCCATGGGGGTTCTTCACACCAGGCTGGGCGCGGCACTTCCCCGTGCAGGGCTGGCCCCTTCCTTACTCAGGCCTCTGTGCGCCTGCCCCTTCCCCACCTGCCGGCTCTCCCTTCCAAGTGCAGCCCTGCTCCCACCTCTGTGACCACCACCTCATCCTCTCTCTCTTGGAAGGTGGCAGCTGCCTCCTCATTGGTAGCCTACCCCAATGGCGGCCACAAGGACAGTAACCCTGAGTCAGACCGTCCTCCCCCTGGCTCGCGGTCTTCCTGTTCCCCTGGCAGCCACCTCTGCCATTTCCAAACCTTCACGCGTGCTGTGCCCTCTGCCCAGAACGCTCTTCCCAGCTCCCTTCCTTGACATCCTCACTGCCCTGGGGCTCTGCTCACTCCCTGCCTCTGTTCTTCAGAGCACTGTCCCTGCCAGATGACAGTTTCCCTACTGACCATTGTCTCTGCTGCTGCGTCCACTCCACAAAGGCTGGCATGCAGTAGGCACTTAATTAACCACTTCAGTACGGCACTCGCAGTCCGCACGGTGGTCTGTGCTGTGCATTGACGACGAATCCGTTTTGCTCCTGTGTGATGAGGCAAGCTTGAAAGCACTGACAGCTTGTTTTACTTTACAGGCAGCTTTCCTTGTAATGTAAATCAGAACAGGTAACATACACATACATGTTTTCATTACGTTATTTTTAAATGTTCACAATTTTATTTTGATAAATGAAAAATTAAAAAGTTAGGTTTTGTTATTAATGCTAAAGTCGACGCTCAGCTGTGCACCTTCATATCACGGCTGTCGGCTAAAGTCGCTGTGCACGTTCATCTGTGGCTGTTGACTATAGTCGACGCTGGTACTGAAGTGGTTAATACACATGAACGCGGGTGAGGGACAGGAGGTCAAGGACAGATACTATAAGACAGAATGATAGGACCAGGGTGGCCTCCCTGAGAGGCTGAGGCTGAAGGCCTGGCGTTCCCAGGCCGGGGAGGTGGGACGTGGCCTCCGTGGGCTGTGGGAGCCGGCAGGGCTGGGGTTGACTGTGACTGCGCGAAGGGGAGATGGCGGATGATGAGGGGCCTGAACACTGAGAAGGAGCAGGGACATTCTCCTCCCAGATTCTCACATGGCCAGGGGCTGCCCTGCACCCATTCATTCACTCATTCATTCATTCAACAAATGTCTCTAAACATGTGCCCGACCTAGAGCTAGATCACAGGGAAAGCAGAGGAAGCCGTGCTCCTCTGGAGCCTCCCTGCTAGCGGAGGACACAAACACACGTCTGCATGTCGGTGCTGGTGAGTGCTATGAAGGAGAGTCAGGCAAAGGATGGCTGGCGAGGCCACCAGCCCCCAGCAGTCCTCACATCCTGGTCATGCCCTCATGTAGTCTCCTCCCTTGATGAATCAGGCTGGTCTGTGTGGCCAGTGAAGTGCACAGAGGGGATGATGTGTGACTTCTGAAGCTGGCTCACAGAAGGCATGTGGCTTCAGCCTTGTGCCTTTGGACAGCTTATTCTGGAATGAGCCAGCTGCCATGTTATAAGGGTGCTCGAGCAGCCCTGCAGAGAACCCTGTGTGGGCAGGAACTGAGGCCTCCAGCCAATGGCCGGCACCACCTTGCTGTGAGTCACCTTGGAAGTGGATCCTAAGCCCCAGTCAAGTCTTCAGATAAGACTGCAGCCCTGGCTGACCCTTGATTGCAGTGTCACAGTGACCCTGACCCAGAACCACCCTGCAGAGCTGGAATTCCCGACACACCAAAACCGTGAGAGAGAATAAATAAATGATGATTGTTGTTTCTGAGCTACCACATTTTGGCGTAATCAGTTACATGGCAATGTACGATGAATGTGCTAGACATCTGAGCAGAGACCTGGCTGAAGCGAGGGCGCTACGGGATAGCAGAGGAAACAGCTTATGCAGGAGCCCTGAGGCAGGAATGACTCACCTGTGCTTGAGAGACAGCCAGCGTGGCTAGCGTGGAGTGAGGGACCAATAATAGGCAGAGAGGTCAGGAGGTGACACAGGGTCATACAGACCAGGCAACTGGGAGCCCATAGTTTGAGGGTCGTGAGCTGGGGGAAGGGCATGGTGATCTGTTCTGATTTATATTTTTTTAACAACCCTCTGTATACACGAAAGAACTGAAAGCAAGATCTCAAAAAGGTATTTGTGCATCCATGTTCATAGCAGCATTATTTGCAACAGCCAAAGGACCATCCACAGATAAATGGATAAACAAAATGTGGTCTGTCCATACAATGGAATATCATTCAGCCTTAAAAAGGAGGGAATTCTGACACATGACAACATGGATGAACCCTGAAGACATTAAGTGAAATAAACCAGACACAAAAGGACAAACACTGTATGATCTCATTGTATGAGGTACCTAAAGTAGTCAAATTCATAGACAGAATGGTGGCTGCCAGGCACTGTGAGGGGGGAATGGGGAGTTAGTGTTTAACGGGGACAGAGTTTTAGTTTGGGAAGATGGAAACGTGCTGGAGATGGATGGTGGTGACGGTGGCAAACAATGTGAATGTACTTAATGCCACTGAGATGTACACTTAAAATGGTAAATTTTATGTTATATATATTTTACCAAAAACAAAAAGACAAACCTTCTGGTAGCTGTGTGGAAGTAGGCTCTGGGAGGGCCTGATTGGAGATGGGGAGACCAGAGTGGTGGCTGTGGGGCGGGGAGAGGGGTGGATCCTGGGTGAATTCTGAGGATGAGCCAAAGGCCTTGGCTGTGGGGTCTGAGAGTAAGTGAAGAGCCATGGGGTTTGGACCTGGGGGAGGGGGGGAAGGAAGACTAGAGAGCTCTTCTCTGGCCATGCTGAGTCTAAGAAATCTGAGGGCATCCGTATCTGAGCTCTGTGACTGCTTGACCAGTAGAATAATGTTCTGGGCCTAGGCCTTAAGGAGCTGACAGCTCCCACCTCCTGTCTCTTGGGCTGCTGAGTTTTGAAACCCAGCTGCCATGCTGGAAGCAAGCTCAGGCCACATGGTGTTTCGATGGAGAGTGTCAGCTAAGGTCCCAGGCAACAGCTAGCGTCAACTGCCAGATAGACGTGTGAGTGAAGATGCCCCTGGGAGATTCAGCCTCAGCATCTAACTGCATGTGAGAAGCACAAGCAAGAACTGCCTAGCTGAGCCCAGCCAACACAGAGAACCAGGAGAGATAATCACAGTCACTGCTGTTATGTGAAGCCACTAAGTTTTGGGGTGATTCACTGTAGAGCGATAGAAAAATGAAACACAGGGTAACCAAACTGTTGAGGAATCAACTCATGAGACACAATTTTCTCCCCAGCCACTGTCTCCCAACTGGGGGATATTCTACTGAATCATGATGTCTCCTTTTGACATTTACCTCTATTCTATAACTTTTCAGCCACTTCTGGTTATTCGAATGGCAACATTCCAGTATTTAAGGCTGACTTGTGGTTTTTTGAGAACTTAATTTTCACATCAACTGAAAAGCTGGGTCTCACTAACCCCGAATTTGAAAGACAATTGCACCAGTCCTCAGAGGACTTAAGGCAACAACAAGGACACTGTAGCCTGAGTACTGCTCACAGCTACCTGGTTCCCCTCTCCTTCTGCACAACCAGAAGAGTCACCCTCCTGGTGACTTTGTGGCTAGATAGGGTCACATGCTTAGTCTGGTCAATGCCTTATTAACGGAAGTGATGTGCATTCCCTCCAGGCCAGAGCACTTTGTTGCTGGTGCAAGCCCCTCCACATCCTCTTCCCCTGCCATGAGGTTGTGCACACTTGTGTCAGAATCGGGGCTGCTCCACTGAGTCGAGGCCCTGCAGATCCCGGCTGGACACAGTGTGAAGTAAACTTGGTGGTTTGAACCCCTGGGGATTATTTCAGCAGCATAACCTCACTAACCTGATGGACACTGTGACAGAAGTTTCTGTTTTTTCAGCAGAGAAGGTAAGTGTAGGCCTGAACCTGTGGCCAGCAGGGGCCAGGTGTCCCAGGCAGAGGGAGCAGCGTGTACTAGGCCTCGGATGGGAGTGAGCTGGGTGTCTCGGAAAATCATAGCAGCAGATCGTCCCCGCTCTGTTCCCTGTACTAGTGGGAACTGGGCCTCTCAGGTTTTGGGGGGATTTGGGGCCAGCTCTCCCTCCCTCTTGCCCCATGGGGCAGAGCCTGCAGCTCTGACAGTGCCTGTGGGAGGGTGTGAGTCTGCACTCGGTGACATCTCCCATGGAGTGAGCCCTCCAGCCGAGTGCAGACTTTGGTGGGGGGTGTCTAGTGTGCTGCACTGGGCAATGGCTCTGCCCTGCCAAGCCCCATGTCATTTCCTCCCCTTTAGCCCCTCTGCCCACTGTGGCCCCTCCATGGCCATCTGGACACCCATTTCTGTATCTGTCAGCCACTGGGAGCTGCAGCCTTTCACCCCACTCCTCCTGTCCTCTGCTTAAGTATCCCAGGCTCAGCTGCCTGGGAATAAAACTCCTGTCTCCCCCAAACCTTCACAGGCAGGCCTCTTGGTCCCCCTTAGCTCTGGTGCCTGGCCTGCCCTGTGTGGCAGGAGGTCTATAGCCTCTGCCTACCTGGGTCCCACCTCACCCCAGCGAGGGTTAGTGGGGTAGGGAAGGCTTGGTGGGAGCTAGAACTTAGAACTGGAGAACCCAGGGCCTTTTGCCATCTGCGCTGACCCTGGCTGGAGCTGAGGTCCCGAAAGGAGCTGAGTGGTTCCCGAACCCCACATGCAAACCAGCATCCTCCTATATCCAGATCGGGGGCAGCGGGGTGGGCCATGGCATGTGCGCCGCGGCCTGGCCCTGGCCTGGCCTGCAGGATCCTCGGGCACGTTGCTGGGGGCACCGCTTTCTACTCCTATCTTAGCTGGGGAGCGTTTTCCCAGCCTGTCAGGAACCCCAACAGATGAAAGCTGCACGTCCTGGTGAGGGCTGGGTCTGTCTTCTCCCTGCCTCAGTGTCCCCCTGCACACCCACAGAGGCCCTGACACACCCCAGAGCTTGACATGAAAACCACCAGGCATACCCTCTGGCCTCACTGTCCCACTCCAGGAGTTTACCCAAAGGAAACAGCATGCCAGCACCATGGTGTCTACAAATGTGACAGCAAACACGTGGAACCCACCCAAGTGTCTCTCAGCTGGGATTTGTCACATACATCATGGCACGTCTGTCAGATGGACTATGCAGTCTGCACCAGGAGAGCATTTAGGTCTACGTGATGTGAAGACATGACAACGTGGCCCCAGCTGGCAGGGGCAGTACAGGCCAGGGCTTCTGCATCCTGACCACCATTGCCGGGCCCTCCTCCTCAGGGCCCCAACATGGCTGCTGGGCCTCCAGGCAGAAAGCAGGGGGAGGTCAAAGGGCAAACCCCAGTGACTTTTCTCAATGGCCACAGACAGGTTACATCCCAAATTACGAGAAGCTGGAAGAATATCTTCAACTAGCCCAGGACAAACATGGGGCTCAGAGGTGAGAGAGAGGGTGGGGCATGGAGCTACAGAATGAGCTCCGAGCTCATCTTATTTTTAAATTTTATTAAAAAATTTTTTTTCAGGGACAAGATCTCACTCTGTTGCCCAGTATAGAGTGCAGTGGTGTAATCATAGCTCACTATAGCCTTGAAATCCTGGACTCAAGTGATTCTCCTACCGTAGCCTTCTGAGTAGCTGGGATTAATTTGTTTTTAAATTTTTTTTAGAGGTGGGATCTTGCTTTATTGCCCAGGCTGGTCTCAAGCTCCTGGCCTCAATGTCTTAAGTAGCTAGGATTACAGGAGCACACCATCACATCCCACTCTCCAAGTTCATCTTAAATGGAAGCAAACAAGAGGCACAGCAGCACGGGTCCGCTATACAAACCACTCACTCTCGGAGTGAGGCTGGGAAGGTAAAAGCCGGGGTTACCATTTATAAAATTGCTTTGACAAATAATTGGATTAGAGGTGACTGTGATGGTTTTAAAGCATGTCTGCTAATTCTTTAGTGTTCCTCCCACCTACCAGTGGAGTCCAACTCTCCTCCCCTTGATCACAGGGCAGCCTTCATTCATAATGAACAGACATGGCGTGACCTCAGAGGACAGGACCCAAAAGGCAAAACGGCTTCTGCCTGGTACCTACACTGGGATTCTTACCTTGGAAACCAGCAGCCATGTTGGAGGAAGCCCAGGCCACGAGAGGCAGCCTCATGGGGATGTTCTGGCCAAGACCCCATGAGCAGCAACTCAGCCTTTGATATGACCACAGTGCTAGCCACCAGCTGGCCACAGCCACTGTGGGCAACTCGGAGTGAGAACCACCAGCTGAGCTCCAGCAAGCTCAGCACTGAGAAGTGATGATGATAATAAACAATTACAGTTTAATGCTACCATGTTTGAGGTTTTGTTATACAGGTCGAAAATCTGGACAGTGATTTTCACCTTTGTATTTTTCAGTGTTAGAAATAATTCTTTTGTTTTATTTCACACCCCTCCCTTGCACCTTGGCAGACAATGGCTGCAGAACCCTCAGCGGGTCCCTGCTTCAAAGCAGCACATCCTGTGGAGGAAGATGCTGAGGTAGCCACCTGTAGTTGCTGAAAAGAAGTTTATTGTACTATGCAAAACTAGATTTGCTAAAAACATCTCCTAGTCTCCATAAAGGAACCCTAGCTGGAGGGAGGCTGCTGCCAGTATCTTAACCTCAGCAGCAGTTTCAAGTCAGCCGTAATTATAAAAATCACCACAGCCGGGCTCCCTTGGGACAATACTCCCTGCTGGGTCCTCAGCCTTTGGTGTCAGCCTGGCCCCAAGGGGTCCCTACACCTGGAAGCTGATGTCACTGACCAGTCTCGAGCTGGACACGTGTCGAGTTGTAGTTGACTTCCCAGGGTCAGGGTGGGCACTGCCGCCGCCCAGTCACCCTGGGGTGTACGCTGCAGGCTGTCTCGGCATTGCCGCGGCCAGCCCAGCGGCAGGCAGGGTCTGTCCTGGGTTCACCGTATGCACCATCACCTGGGCTCGAGGTGAGCTAGGGGGGGCGCTGGGGCTCAGAACTCTGGGCCCAGGAGTCCAGGGGTTCTTGTCCATGGCGTGGGTCACACTGGCCAGCTCACTGGTGCTCTCGCCAGGGTCTCTGTGGAGAGAGGAGGCATGAGCTGGGGGAAAAGTGGGACAGGGTTAACCCCAACTCCACAACTTCCTAGGTACCCAGGCCTCAGGCCTTCAGTGAACCTGGGGCAGACCAGTGCTGAGGGTTGGGGAGCCCCCAGTTCCTGCTGTCAGAAGCTGTCCCATAGCCGGAAGCACAGAGAGGCCACTACCCCTCCTCCCAGACCCTCTCATCCAGGCCCTGCCACCACCGGGCCTCAGGTCCCTTACACGTACAACCAGGGGGTGGCCCAGGGGCTGGCTGCTTGCCTTCCTAAGGTGTGGGAAGGGGCTTTCTGGGGCTTATCCAAAGGGTGCATAAACTGCCAGGAGCCCAGCTGCCTGGCCAGCGCCTGGGGACATCCTGGCAGAGAAGGGAAGCTAGGGAGAAGGAGTGTCAGGGGAAGATACCTTCCCTCCTGCCAGGCCTGTCCTCTTTGGTGGCCTGGAGCTGGATCACCCACCCTTTATGCTTTTGGTACTCTGTCACTCCCCTGTCCCCCGGAACACAAACTAGGCCATTCTTCAGGCTGATCAGACCCTGGCCGGCCCCTGTTCTCCAGGCCCTGCCCCGTCTCTGGCCTCTACACACACTGGCCTCTGCTCCCTGGAGTCTGCCTGACTGCTCCAGCCTCCAGCCCTTTGCTCACTGCCATCTCCCCTAAGATGCTGTGCCTCTATTCCTCCAATGCAGGCTGTCTCATTCTCTTCCCTCCAGGTAAACATCACCTCTGCCAGGGAGCCTTCCTGGATCACTGCTCCCATCAATGCCTAATTCTCAGAAAAACTCTGGGAAGTAGAAGGAGTTAAGAAATGATCTATTGGTTCAAAGAATAAAGGAATGAATCAATTAGTTAATCAGTGGAGAGGAAAGGTAGCTTAGTGGACGTTGGAGCCAGACTTTGGACTCCAAACTCAGCTTTACTCTTACCAGTTGTGCTTGAGTCTACACAAGTTTCTTAAACTATCTGGTTCCTCACCGGTAAAATGGGATAAAAGTAGTACCCACTCCCTGAGGTTCAAAGAGTTAACATTTGGAAGAGTCTAGAACAGTGCTTGGTATGTTGCCCATGCTGAGAAACGTTTATGAAATAAAAGCAAGGTCAAGGGGCAAACCTGGCCTTGCTAAAGGCAATTTACCACCTATCCAGGCAGTCTGGGCCTTGTCTGAGGGGTGGGTGGCCCCAGGACCCACTGGTGCAGGGGACCCTGCCTCCCTTGTGCAGTGCAGCCCTGGGCGGGAGAACCTTCTCTAAGTCCCTCTCAAGCTGGGCTGTGCTTGGGGTCCCCACGTGTGGGAGAACTTGGTGGAAGGGCTCTGGCCCAAGAACCTCCCTCCTTCCCCCTAACCACCTACTTCCTGCCTCTTGAGCTGCACCAACTAGAGCTGACTATCCGAGTGGCCCCCGGCCAGTCTCCTCAGGGCAACCTCCTCCCCTGGAGTTCACCCACTGCCTAGTGGAGGTGAACAGAGTTCTCTACACAGGTCTGGCAGACATGTGGCCCCAGAAAGCACCCCTGGGAGCCCCTTGGCCTCAGGCTCTGGCCGGTGAAGCCCTTGCAGCAGCAACAGCTGCCACCCTCATCCTGGACACCCAGTTGCCTTGAGTGGCAGCTGTTCCTTCCCCCATTCCACAGGCGCTTTCCCAGTTATGACTCGGGGTGATCTGGTCTCCAGGCTGTAATGGGGATGGGTGTCATAGGCGGGGGGCAACGGATAAGCTTTGACTCCAGCCTTGGAAGTCTGACATATAAAAAGAAACGCATCAGTCAAAACAGCCCCAGCAAAACTAAAAGAGGAACACTTGCAGCCTGATCCACTTGCAGCCAGTTGACAGGTCAAGCTGTCTCCCAGAACACACACACAGCTCCCGGTACCGTATGAGAAAGACACTAACAGGTAATTCAGCAGAGAAAACAAAAAATGACTAATACCAGCAGTCCACTGGTGAGCCAAGGTTCCGAGAAAACATTCCCCCTCAATAGTAATCAAAGAAATGCCAACGAAAACTCCCTGTGTAACTTACACCTGCTACATAAATAAATAAACAGGAAACAAACTGTTAGTGCTCAGGGATGATGTGGTTGTTGTCGAACTATGGACTAACTTGTACTGGAGCTCCCAGAGAAAGAATTTGGCAATAAAATGTTTAGACTATTGGCCTAAAAAAATCCTTTCCTGGGACCACCCGCACGATGTCATCTCAAAAGAGAAAAAAAGTACTAAGCACAAAGGCATTGACCACCCCGACTGCTCAGTAATGGCGCTGGAGACTGGACGGATGGGTGGCCCTAAAGAATGAAACTCCGGCTTCAGGCCACCAGGTGAGCTGGAAAGTGCTGCTAGTGGAAAAGGCTCCACGCACTGTCTCGGCTGCCACCTCGATGACGCAGTGCCCACCTGGAGCTCCAGGGAGGAGGTGGGAAGTGCATCCCTTTCCTGCAGGCGTCCACCAGAACCAGCTTGGTGCACGCAACATGGGACCACCCAGGTCACAGCCTCCAGTGTCTCCATTTCCTTGTCTGCACAAGGACAGCAGGATTCACTGAATTCTCCCAGTGGGCCTGGGCACATGCTTGGACTTAGGTGACCTCAGCAGCACGGGGAGGTGGGCACTACTGTGATCTTCACTTCATAGGTGAGGAAACTGAGGCATGAGGTGGTTACAGTCACACAGCGAAACCACAAGGGCCGGGAGCAAGCGTTTTGCTGCCTTGCAAGGCTCCCATGGGATGGCCTGAGGAAGAGCAGGCAGCACCCCGCAGGGATGCCTTCTCAATGCCTGTCCAGACCCCAGGGTCTAAGCCGTTCCCTGCCCAGAGGAACGGGGCTCCCAGAGCAGTGGCCGACCCCAGAGCCAGGCACAGAAAGCACAAGATGGGCCTGGAACATCTTGTGCAAGCAGGAAGTGCTCAAATGACAACGGGGACGTATCAGAAAGACCCAGGCCACAGCTCGCCAGGGCTCCTACTGCCAAAAACAATTGGAGCCCACAAAAAGCGGAAATTGTGTAGGCACAGGGGGTATGGTCATGGCAAAGCTTGGCAGAGCTGGAAACACAGAAGATGGGAGACAGGAACAGGAGATTTGTCACTATTTTACTTTTATGTATGTATAAAATTTTCCAAAATAAAAGAATATCCATAAATTCATACTGATACTAAACAAAACAAAATGGAAAGAAAGGAAAGAGAAAAAGCATAGAGCTCATCCTCATTCCTCATGGAAGAAATGTCAGAATCCCAACAGAGTCAGTGAAGTCACCTTTACTGTAACTCCCAGGTGACAGTGGACCAGCAGGTCACCCCTGGACAGTGAGGCCAGGGGTCAGAGGTCGCTGGGGCAGCAGAGGCCCGTTGCAGGCCCTTTCCACGCCCTCATAGTGGAGGGATCTGGGGGACTCGTCCCAGCCAAGAGACCCCGATCCACGAGGCCTGCGTCTGTGATCGGCAAGAAACGCACACCCGGGCACAGTTGTGCAGAAACACCAGACAGAGCCAGATGGGGTCTCTGTGTGAGACCACCGGCGCAGAGCCCTCAGAAGCCCACGCCACGAAAGCCAGAGAGCCTGCCCCAGTGTAGGGAGCCCAGGGACCTGAGAGCCGAGTGCCGAATCCTGGACCAAGGCTGGCGCGTCCCGTGCGGATAAGAACACTGGGGGGAGGCCCTGCTACACAGTCCGCGTGCGTTCTGGACTGGATTTCTGGCGTCAGAAAAAGGATGTCCTTGTACTTGGGGGGAGAGGGGGGACAGGGCGGGGCAGGGGAACACGCAAGAGAGAAAGAGAAGGAGGGTGGGAGCCGCCAGGTCTGGGTGGCGTGGGCATGGGTGCCGGAGGCTTCCGCTTCCCAGTAGGGTTGAATTCCCAAGATGCAAACTTGGTGGGGGCAGCCGTGAGCACTAGGACGTCACAGTCAGGACACAGTGCTACGAGGACCACCAGCCTCTTGCTTTAGAGATGGGAGTTGAGGCCCGGGGAGGGCTGGGGGCAACAGGGCGCTCTGCCCCCCCCCCCCAAGCCGGCCACACTCACGTGGTGAAGCTGTGGTTGTAGTGCGCCTGCGCCGTCCGGCTCCTGGCCTTGCTGCTGCTGCTGCTGCTGCTGAAGTTCTTGAGGCCGAGGTAGGAGGCCTGCACCGTCTCCAAGTCCTCGCCTCTCAGCTGGTACCACAGTTGGGCCGTCCTGGAGGAGAGAGTGGGGTGCAAGACTGAGCATGCGCACTCGTCCCCGACAGCGGCAGAATCGCGCCCTATGCAGGCCCAGGCAGGGTGGCCAACCTCTGAAAGAGCCGGATGGGGGATAATTCAGGCGCTGTAAGCCATAGGGTTTCTCCCGAAGCTAAACTCTGACACTGCAGCTCAAAAGCAGCCAGACACCAGGAGATGGTGAATGTGCCTGTGTTCCAATAAAACTTTACTCACAAAAATAGGCGGTGGAAAGTTCTGGACAGTGCTGACGGTTGCATAACACTATGACTGTACTTAATGCCAACAAACTGGACACTTAAAGATGATTAAAATAAATTTCATGTTATATACATTTTACCAGAATAAAAAAATATAAACAAAAAAATAAAAAGAATAAATCACTGTGGGGGAAAAAACCCAGCAGTGGCCAGACTTAACCTGTGGACTATAATTGACCAACTCTCGGTCTGTGGTGACAGGGACGCCCCCTGGAGCTGTGGGAGGCAACTGCGGCAGCCCTGCATGCCACTAACACAGCAGGATGTATATCACGTGTGTGTGCACACGTAAGAACAATAGCTAGGCCGGGCGCGGTGGCTCACCCTGTAACCCTAGCACTCTGGGAGGCCGAGACGGGAGGATTGCTTGAGGTCAGGAGTACAAGATCAGCCTGAGCAAGAGCAAGACCCTATCTCTACAAAAACTAGAAAATTAGCTGGACATGGTGGTGTGCACCTGTAGTCCCAGCTACTCGGAGGCTGAGGCAGGAGATGGCTTGAGGCCAGGAGTTCAGCCTGGGCAACAGATCGAGACTGTTTCCAAAAAAAACAAACAAACAAAAACCTCCCCCAATAACCCACAGGCTGGCCTGTCCCCCCACAGCTGTGATGCTAACGTGGGCTGGGGGCAGCACTTGGTATGATGATTCCCTTACTAACCAGAGCTGCCCACGGGGGCTCTCAGACACCCCCCAGACAGTGCCCGCTCCCGCAGGACCCTGAGAACCCCAAGGACACCAGGCCACTGCACCTGTCAGAGCGCCGCCGTTCGCTCCTCTTCACGCACTTGAGGAGGCAGCAGGTGAGGAAGGCCATAGACATGAGCAGGATGATGGCGCAGCTCACGATGGAAGCGATCACAGCCACCTTGAAGCCGAAGGTCTCGTGTGGCGGCACAGCTGCGCAGGAGACAACTGCCAGCTCCTGGATGCAGTTCACTCAGCCCCACCAGGGGTGGGAGGTAGGGGCCCCAGGGGCCAGGAAGTCTAAGAGTGGGATGGATGGGGTCCAGGAGTGCATGGGGCCTGGCTGGCCTTCAGTGAGTCCCATTCTATGGGGAAGGCAGTGAGACACTAGTGGCTAAGCAAAGGTCTGTGAAAATTGTATTTGGGATGGGGCTATTAAGGAAGACTCTCCCCAAGGAGGAGGCATGTTTGCTGGGTTTTGCAGGGTGTGTAGGAGTTTGCAGAGTGGCTGATTGGAGAAGCTCTGATTGGGAGGTCAGCATGAGGGCCTCCCTGGCTCCCACCCACTGGAACCCTGACTGAGGAATAGAGGAAGGGTGGGCCACAGACAGCAGATGACAGCAGACACGGACTGAGCAGGACCTGTCCAGTCACAGTCTGAGGTTTCACAATGAATGCCCCAAGCTGGCAAAACCTTTCATGAATGCACATGCCGAGCCTTAGTAGGATATTCTGTGTGCTAAGAATTCTAAGGTCACTTTCTACGAAGGAGCACAGGCAAGGAAAATGTCTGTCTTTGGGGTCAAAGGTCATTTGCCACATAACAGCCTTGTGACCGCAGCTATGTGCTAAGAACTAAGATTCTAAGGGATGTTCTAGGAAAGAACAGCACAGGATCCTAATTCAAGCAACACCATGTACTCTCCCCACACAGTGGGCATGGCTTATGTCCCCCTGCCCCCAGTTCTCCTGCTTCCTAGCTGGACACTGGCCCAGAGCAAAGATGATGCTTCCAAGTGGTGACATGACCACATTCTGGCCAAGGGCAGGTAAGAGGAAGTGATATAGGACAACCTCTAAGAACCTTCCCTGAGACACTGGGGTGTGCCCTTTCACCCTAGGGACCCCTAACCCCAGAGCAACTGCCTGGAACACAGTTTGCTGCCACCTTGGATCATGACATTCAGGCCACACCCAACAAAGCCTTGCCAGGGAAGGGGCCTGGGTCCCACCATCATGAAGTGCCACATGAGCAGGCTGCCCATCCTGAGGGTCAAAGCTCCATGTGGTTAACCCTATCACTGTGGGTTTTCTGCCTCTTGGAATCTAATCCTAACAGATACTTTCATTCTCAGAGATTCACCCAGCACATTATCATTTTAAAGGCTCTGAGAAGTCTTGCCTTTGCCAAAGGCATAAACTCAGCATTTGCCAAAGTCTTTTGACTCTGAGCCCTTTTTATGCACAGATCACATTAACATAACATGCATGGCTTCACTCTGGCAAATGACATGCTGGGCACTCAACAGGTACTATCTCATGGACCCTTTAACACTCTATACAACAAATACAACCAGAGAACTAGAAAACCATGTCCCCCCCTAGACGGGCAGTTCCAGGGCTGGGCGCATCAAGGCCCTCTGTTTCCACAGTACTTTGAATTCTTGGCACACAGAATGTCCTATTAAGGTTTGCCATGTGCATGCATGGGAGAAAGAAAGAACAATGAACACAGTTTCCCACTTACCAGATGCCAAAGTGTGAAAGTAACCTCTAGGCAGTGAGGGAACTCAGTGGCAGAGCCGGGACCAAGGCCTGCTGGTCGGCCTTGCGTCCACACTGCAGATGTGGCACCGTAGGCCAACGGCTGCCGTGAAGCAGGGAAGGTGCCTACTTCCCTAAACAATAGCCCAGTCTGCGTGGACACCACCACCACCCACGTGATGAGATTTAGGGCCACCCTACCCCACCCCTCAGCCGCTGAGCTGTAGGAAGCTCAGGAGGGAGGGGTCCTTACACTTGCACACGGGGGTTCCTGAAGACCACTCAGCGACGCTCCCCTTCCAGACGCAGGTGAGGAGGCCAGACCCCACCATCTGGTGACCAGAGGGACAGTGGAAAAGAAGCACGGTCCCCAGAGAAGCGCCATCGCCACGAAGGACTTGGAAGGTGCCCTTTGGGGGCAGCGGCAGCTGAGCGCACGTGCCTAGGGAGAGAGGCAGGCAGTGAGGCGCGGCGGGTGGGGTGGGGGGCTGGGAGCAGATGGGGGCCCTTGAAGGCTGCGGGATGCTCTGGAGAAGGTCACGTGGGGCCATCTAGACACTGGGACAAAGCAGAGCTGGATCCCTACGTGAAGTATACTCCTAGACGCTCTGAGGATTACCATGTTAAAAAAGAAAAATAAACAAACCAAAAAACCCTGAATGTTAGAAGACAATAAAAGCAAATACACATTATCTAAGCATAGCTCCAAAGACAGAAATCAAGAAAAACAAAAGGGGAAGAGATCAACAGATTTGACTGCGTAAAGAATAAAAGTCAAAAGCATCTGCAACTCCCTAATAGTTGAAAACAAACACAAACTCAGATGAAAACAGTTGGTAAAAGATATTTGGAAAACATAAGACAAAGGTTCAATAGCCTTAATTTATGACGAGATCTTATACATCAATAAAAGCTGAATATCATCTTTTCAAAAAAATGGACTGTGAACAAGCAATTCACAGGGATATAAATGGCCAACAGACATGAAAAAATGCTTATCCACGGTAATCAAAGAAATGCTAATTCAAATGAGAGCTCATCTTTCCCTCATCGATACAGCAAAGATTAAAAGAAAAAAACATGACATGCAAGTCAGCCAGAGCTGGGAAGTGACTCCTTCCAGACTGGGGTGTAGATCCAAACCTTTCTCGATGAAGTGGGATATATGTATAAAGGACCTTATGTTGTGTACAAGGCCAAACCTGAGGATTTGGCCAAAGGAAACAAAAATCTGCCAAGATTTCTGTACCAGGATTCTCACGTTAGAGCCTTACAGAACAGTGAAAAGTTGGACACTACCTATGTCTCCACGAGCAGGGAATGATTCACTAATCAAAGTATATCCAGACAACAAAATGCCATAAAGTAGTTACAGTGATGTTGTCCTTGAATAAGGACACAGAGAAATGCTTCGGATGCAGTGGAAATCATGAGAACTTTTATAAAATTATAAAGTTTATACACTTATAGCAATGACAACAGCTGGGCCTTCTAAGGGACTTGCCATGGGCTGGATACTGCTATTCGTGCGTCACATGCACTAACTCATCAATTGGCCCAGCAGCCTTCCCGGGAGAACTGTCGACACCCCCACTGACAGGTAAGCAAATTGGGGCAGGGGTCTAGTGTCACTTCCTGCAGTGGCACAGCTGGTATGTTGCAGGGCAGACTCAGAGCCGGGCAGGGAGGCTCCTGTGCCCATTTGTGTCTGGCTTCCCTTCTTTGGCACAGGGCACCAGATGCTCTGTGTGTATCAGCAGCTGGTTTCATTTTACAGCAGTGAAGCACTCGTTGTGTGGATGGGCCTGTTTGTTCCCTGCATTTGAGTTGTCGCTGGTATTCAAGGATGTTCAGTGAAACTGCTGAGGACATTCTGAAGCCTGTTTCCTGGTGCCCGAATGTGAGAGGCTCTTCCTCCTGCTTCTCCAGTATTTCCTGGTTTCTGTGCATTGACACTGCAGCACTGGTGCATGGAAGGCATGGAATAGGGAGAGCGGGTTGTGCTGGTGCGTGGTGTGTGCAGAGGCAAAGACCGCCCTGAGCAGCAGCCACAAAGGAGCACCTGTCTCCTTCCGCACAGGCAGGGACCAAGACTCAGAGATGGGGACGACGGTAGGGACAGAGGCCCGGACACACAGAGTCTAGTGGACCCCGTGATTCCACACAGACCCACTGCGACCTTCCTCTGTGTGTTATGTCTCTAGCCAAGGCAGTGCGTTGGGTGCCAGGCACAGACGTCCTGCTGTCCACTGAGCCGGAGGTCACCTGGCCAAGCTTCTGAGCTCCCCAACCTACTTTTCATATGGCTTCCCCATTCTAACTTTAATTTTAATTAGTGGTCCTTCCATCTTTCAGTTGCTTGGGCCCCAAACCTCTCTACCCATGACCAATTCTCTAGCAAACTACGTGGACTCTAATTTCAAAAACTATACCAAAGACATCTGCAATAGGCTGAATATCATCCCCCAAATTTATTCATGTCCACCCAGGAGCAGCTGTGTGGGCTGGCTGTGTGCCGAGGCAGGGTCTTCATCCACAGAGCACAGCAGCCCATTTCTTACCCCACGTCTAAATTCACCAGTTCATCTAGAGAGGAGACAGAGGCTCAGAGAGGTCAAGCCACCCCCAGCCATGCTGACCCTGTCCTTCTTAGGGCCAGGTATTAACGGGCCATCAGCAGAGCCAGGCTTCAGCCCAGGGCCTGCGTTCTGCCATCTGGGAAGTGGCGAAAGCTAAGGCTGCCAGAGCTCCCTTGCCATGGCAGTCACCATGAGGGATGGCATTTCATTGTAGTCGGCCAGGTATACTGACCCCCTCCCCAGCAGCACACAGTGGCCTCCCTGCCCTTGGCCTCTGCCCCATGTAGAACCTGGGGGCCTTAAGAAGCTGAGATGCTCAGAGGGAGACTGTGGAGCCAGGGGTGGCCCCCAGGAGGGGCTGAGGGAGACCCCTGCATGGTCAGGCATGCTACTTCTGCCGGGAGGACACTTGCCAGCACAGGGCGGGAGAAAGAGGGGGTGTAGGGGGTCGGAAGGGCTTCTGGTTTGTGCACTTTGCTGGGAGGGATGGGGAGGCATTGACTCTGGATCGGCACAAACAACACTGGGCGCCTAATAGGTGCTGTACTGTGTTATTGCTCTGTGAGGAGAATAGGCTATCCCCACCTTACAGGTGGGGTAACTGAGGCACACCAAGGCTCAATGACATGCCCAGGGTCACTCTGTGGGAAGGTGATTGGGATGGAATTGAGACCCAGCACACTGTCTGGAGCTCCACCTGACAGCTAAGCCCAGGAGGAGAACCTGCACTGTCCCAGCTCATCCTAGGTGGTGTCAACCCAGTTCCCATCTCTGGAGGTGTCTACCTCCAGTATCCCTTCTCCCCACCTCAGAGTTGCAGCTGGGAATGTGACTGCCATCAAAAATTATATTTTCCAGCCTGCCCTGCTGCTGGGAGCAGCCATGTGATTGAGCCCAACCAATGGGATGTGAGCATGCAGCTGGGAGCAGCCACGTGATTAAATTTGGCCAATGGGATGTGAGCATAGGTGCCATGCCACTTGCGTGTTGGGGAGCAAAGATGGTGGATGTGTGAAAAGGTGGACCAACCCCTCACATCCTAACAAGAGAGAGATAAACTCCAGCTGGAGTTAAACCACCGCTTTTTTTTATGGATTTGTTAAGTAGACTGACTCAGCCCTGATACAAAGCTTCAGTCAACATGTCTCAGCCCAGTGCCCTATTTAGCACTTCGGACCCTGCCTGGCCCAGCCAGGTCTCCGAGGCAACAATAACTAAAGGAGAATGTCAGTGGCAATACTAACAGAAGAAAGAACAACCCCAGACCTTACTCTGTGCTGGGCGCTGTGCTGGGCCTTCAGTAGCTGTTGTGGAATAGCACAGAAACGAGCACATGGACTCCAGCCTGCAGGGCTCCTCGTTCACCTTCACCACACACAGATGGGGACCCAGGCAAGGGGGCCTCCGCTGGCCTTGAAGTCAGCACAGCTGTTGTGCCCACCTCGGGCTGTTGTGAGGAAGAAATGAGGTGAAACACTGAGGCATCTGGGAGGTGCCTGGAACACACCCAGGCGGTAGCCATGGGTATTCTTGGATGAACTGCCACCCTCATTTTGCAGCTCCAGAAATCAAGGCTCAGGGACACAGCCAGCTAGTGGTTCAGCCATGGTCAGTCCTGGCTACCTGGCTCTTCATCCCCTGGTCACCCCATCCTGTCTGCTCCTTCAGTATCTGGGGAAGGCTGGCTCCTTGCCTGGGCAGGACTCTTCTGACTGCTCCCTGCAGATCTTCATTATCAGCATTACTATTAACAATAACGATGCATACTTGCATAGAACATTTTGTTCAAGAAGCACCCCACATTCCTTACCTCATGTAACACTCAACAGTCCCAAGAGGTCAGCAGGGAATAAATCATTATTATTACAGATGAGGAAACCAAGGCTCAGAGAGGTGGGCTGACCTGCCCAAATGCCCACTATTAGAAAGCAGGGAGGTGACACAGGACCCAGTGTTTGTTTTCTAATTTACCCATTTTTGGCTGCTATTTTTGTCATTATCTTATTAATATATAAGTGCTGTTTATATAGAAAAGATACTAACCCTCTGTTACATGTGCATTGTAAATATCTACCCCCTACTTCTTGTTCTAGATTATACTGGGAATCTTAAACACTGACTATTCATAGGCAGAAGAATGAAGTTGCACCCCTACCTCACACCATATACAAATATTAACTTAAAATGAATCAAAGACCTAAACGTAAGAGCTAAAACTATAAAATACTTCAAAGAAAACGGTAAATCTTTGTGATCTTAGGCAATGGTTTCTTAGATACGACACCAAAGATAATAAAAGAAAAAAAAAACCATGACCTCATCAAAATTAAAAACATTTGTGCTTCAAAGGACACAATAAAGTGAGAAGACAACCTACATATAGGGAGAAAATATTTGCAAATCCTGTATCTGATAAGAGGCATGTATCTAGAATGCATGAAGAATTATTACAACTCAATTATAAAAAGACCACCAAATTTTAAAACGGGCAAAGGATCTGAACAGGCATTTCTCCTAAAAAGATATACTAATAGCAGCCAATAAGCACATAAAAAGATTCTCAACATTATTAACTTCAGGGATATGCAAATAAAAACCACAATAAGGTACCACTGCATCTCTACCACGCTGGCTATTCATCAAAAAGACAGATAACAAGTATTAGGAAGAATGTGGAGAAACTGGAACCTTATATGCTGCTGGTGGGAACATAAATTGGTACAGTGGCTTTGGAAAATGGTTTGGTGGTTTCTCAGACAGTTAAACATAGAATTACCATATGATCCAGTGACTCCACCTGTAGGTAAACCTCCAAGAGAGATGAAAACACATGCCCACACAAAAACATATATGCAAATGTTAA